ATATTATTGTTATTACTGATTGCAATTATTAGTACAAATGTTACTTTATACTTTGAATACACACCAGCTCTTTTTTCGACTTGGTTATCTTCCAATGCAACATCAAAAGGAATGTCTGGAATTGGGTAGTCTGCTCCTGGTGGAGCACCATAACAGATATGGGAAGCCACGAGTAACAAGATAATGACAGATGGACGCATCATTTCGTTTGGCCTGTACTACACCTGAGTACAATTCAGTCAACTAAATGAAGACGAATAAATCACAAAGTATGAGTATTGGAGGAATAAAAACGATTGAGGCACACAAGTGGAAAATCGAATACTTTGCTTTGCGGAGTGCCGATTCCCTAAATTTTCTTCAGAAGGGGTAACACTCAGAAATACGGAAGCATCCCTTATAGAGCACAATCGGCTCCTGAGCACGCGTAATGTTAGTCGTATAATTATGATTCATGGCTGAAATCATCCTATTCGAAAACCTCCTTTTCAAGTTCATCCATCCATTCTAAAGGAGGAAACTATGTAAACGAGGTTCAAACGAAAAAAATATCCCTTTTAAAAAATATGCAGATACGTGTGGACGGGGAGTTACATTATACACCCGTCACAGCTGCCTCTCGTATCGACTCGTAGCTCAGTCAGTAGACAAACGGCAGGTCTAATCCTGAAGTCGTGAGTTCGATCAGAACCGAGTCAAAGATATCTTTTGTCTTCGCCTCGCGTAAATGATATCTTCAGTGCAGAATTGACCTAAATAGGAACCTGCGACCCAAAACTATCCTCATGAGGGGTAGAATTCGCTAATTTTTTGTCGAAAATTTCTTGTTTACAAGTGAGAGCCTCTCATTATCCCAAAATATCTCGATAACGCTCTTATAGATTTCGAACATCGAGGAGTCTATTGGAGAGAAAAGCTTCGTGAACGGTTTGGAACCGAAAAGCATCCAGTGCCGAGAAATGCTCAGAAGAAAAATAGGTAATGGTTTCATTTCGTTGCTATGGCAACTCCGATGTCATTGTAGCTCGATGATGGCGAAGTAGTTTATACCATAGTTAATTGAGTGGAATGGTTATGAAACCCGTCAGACTCCTTTGTTATATGTTTTTGTGGACCTGAAATTGCACAACGTTCAAAAGAATTCCTATCATTTTGATTGTATTGACCAATAAAAACGTTGCATTAATTTATTCCGTAACAATTTGCCAACAGAAAACAGAGGATTGTGCACTTTCACGGTACTTCCAACATAAACTGCAGCACTGTTGTTTTTATCATTGATGTTTGCCGCTTTTCATAACCAGTCTCCTCTAATAACTAGACTCAGACTTGGGAGGTATTGACCCTGAACTGAAACCCTTTCGAGCCGCCCTAAAATGTCAAACACCTTGTGCTTTCCTTTATAATGTTTATAGCCATTTATCATGAATCTTAGAATTACAAAATAATCAAAATGTTTTCCTGATAGCAAATTACAATTTAAGAACTTTCAAGACAAAAAGGATGAATACATAATTATAATCTTTTTTAAGTAGACAGGGTTCTCTCTACTCGTGAGAACAAATGCAATCTGTTGTTTTTTGACTGGAGAAAACAATGTTAAATGATGAAGGATTTGTATTTTTGGTGATCATATTCGAAAAAAGTAAATCCCAGTCCATTTAGTCAACAGTTATCAAATGTTTGAAAGCTCATTATTTTCGATTCAGCTCTGATAATATCGTTAAAAACAATAGGTGAATTTGCATGTTATCGCCTACAGGTAATAACAGATTTTTTTAGGACCAGATTCATCAAGATATCGAAGATCTTACAATACACTCATTATCCGCTGTGTTTGTTTAAAGTGTTTAAAATCAAGCTCAAAGTTAAGCCGTCTCATAAGTAGTATCTCAGATTGTTCCAATCCCTTTTTTCTAGATTTTTTTTTTTTTTAAAAATATAGAACATAGATAGCTGAAAACAGCATTAGGGTCGTCCGGAAATGGCAAGTCCACCACGGTCGACAGGCCAACAAACTAGGGTTTGTTAAGAAAGCGTGTGTTCCAAAAGCATTGCCTTAGAGCAGATACAGTCGAATCCCGTTAATACGGACACTAAGGGGGGGGGCGTAGAAAGTGTCTGTATTAACGGGGTGTCCTTATTAGGCAGGTTGAATTGAAAAAAGTGTAAGGGCTTTGTTTCTCCAGGGAAAGAGCAGACTGTCCGTTATAATGAGGTGTTTGACTGTATTGCAGAAAATAAATAAAAAACGAAAACTCACAATTGACAATGTTCTTCATTTTTCTACGCAACTGCAAAATGGTTTCAAGCCTTTTTTTGAAAACGAGTTAAAGTTGAAACTAGTTAAATACTGCTAATGCAGACAGCCTAGCTTTCTCCTTGAAATAATATAACGTTCTTTTTGTTGTCTTTTATTATAGAAATAGGCCGGTTTGCCCAGCGGATGGTAATTTTAATGCGTCCGTAAACAGTTGAGAATATGGAACGATGATCATCATATTTTCACTCTGTACCTTATATAGTCATACGGCTTCCACACTTTCAAAAGCAAGGAAGAGAAAAAAAGTTGGTCATTTCGTTTAAGCTATAGTTGGCGCAACTGCACGAATTGATACGACTGAACGTTATAAAAAGAAAAAAAAAGCATGCATTAGTACATTATAGTACTAACAATCATTTCAAACTAGCAAGTAGAATACCGCGAAAAAAAAACAAACAATTCTAAAAACAATTAAGAGCACTCTGTTAAAGTTTTAGTAGAGTCCAACCAATCCAGTTGCATTTATAAACGTCAGTAGTAATATATTATTATCTTTACCTTAGTTTACTGCTTTCCTTGACAAAAGTGTTTGGTGGCTGTTTGATATGCTACCGAGCGGCCAACTCAAGTGAGATGACTTATTACAGTATTGTATTTCTTTTTATATCATTTCAATTCAGTTGCAAATAAGAATGTCCACCTTCTTCCGAAAGGACTTACCCCTAATTAGTCGCCCTTAAAAGTAATTAAAAACAATTTCCATTTTAATAGCTATTCGTTTGAACATTTTGTTTATACTAATTTTGCCTTAAGCAGCTGGGTACATGCAAACTTTATCACTGAAATAACTTTGCCATCTGAAGTGAACTAAAAACTCTCTCAAAATGAACACTGTTGCACAAGTATTGTTCCACTGGTATTATCATCATGTGGTTTTTGAAACGAAAAGTGCTTTTGCTGGGTTACTGAGTGCATAAGCACCGAAAAGTATAAAGTGGATCAACATAATATTGCCGGGTTAGGATTTTTTTGTTTCTTGCTCTTTTATTTGTCGCGGCACTTAAATTTGTCAAAGTCAACTAAGCCCAGCCCTATAAACGGATTCTTTACAGGCTTTTAAGAACTCTTTCTTGTCAGCACTTTACAAGAAATCACATGAATAAGAATTGAACGATGTAAAATTATATTCTCAAACTCATTAATAATTCATTAAGAAAATACAAAGGAAATTAATGTTTAATAAGAGTATTTGAACGATTTTGTTTGAGAAAAATTATTAGTGTTTTCACCAGATGAAACATCTCGAAAGTTCGTCAAAAAACGGTGTTCATCTGGTGATGAAACACTGCATCTCATGTTTGATATATTACTTCAACAACTGTTCCACAAATTTCACCTCTATCGGTCAGTTTATCAGCGGAATAATCATGTTCGTTGTAGTGGAGTGTCATTTTATCGGCTACTGATCGAGAAATTGAAATTAATTTATCAAAAGGGGGCGGACTGACGAAGATTCACCGTGAGCTTCCGAACAAATCGCATTGAATTTGTATGGCATTAATAATACGCAATTCAAGGGAATGTCGAACTCTGTAGCTCTTCCTTGTTCATTCAATGCTTCCTTAATGTCTTGCGCATGCATTGTCGTCTTGACAGCTGCCTCTCTGGATTGCTTTGAAAAGTCAAAAGCGACCCTCCTTCTATCGCTTTCGAAAGCACAATCCTCCCGTCTTCTATAAAAGCTCACTAGCACTTTAACAACACCAACGGGAGGACCTGTCGATGCCGCAGTGACGTTTTTCTTCGCCTTCGACGCTGATTAAAGAATCGCGGGCACTTGTTACGAGATTGGTCCCCAGTACTCCCTAGGTTTCCCAGAATACTGTTGCGCATGGGTCAAAAAAAGAGAATACAACCCCTTTGAGCACAGGCTCAAAGTTCGTGAGTTATTTTGTTACCGTTTCTTCAAGAGAAGATAAGAATTGGCAATGCTTGAAGACTACGGGTTTTTCAAGAAAAAATCCTGCAAACACTTAAAATTGCTCTACAGAAGCAGTACCCTTTTAATAATAGGCCATTTGCACGATGGCGTCACTTTACTACTACGACCAGGATCCTTTTCGTTTTGCCTTTCCTATTTAAATTTGGCAATCCCAGCGAGGTTTAAATAACTAAAGCCCTAATTTGCTCAAGAAAGCAAAACCCTGAAGGATTCTTGTCTTGGGGCCTGTTTACATGTAGTGGGGGACCCCGGTCTGGTGGGGTTGGTTTCTTTTGTTTTCACGCTCTGGGGTACACAAAACAAAAGAAACCTACCCCACTAAACCGGGGTCCCCCACTCAATGTAAACAGGGTCTTAGTAGTGAAATATCGTGCAAATGGCCTTTTGACCACTTAAAAGCAAACACTAAAAATCAAGGCCAAATAACACTAAAAGGAAACAAATAAAGAATAGCATGCCTTTTAAAGGACCCTTTAAGATAAGACTGGCACAACTAATTACAAAATTTGTTTGCAAAAAATTGTACTTCCTATGTGCTCCAAATTATGAAAATTTTTAGAAAAAAAAAACGAACCAAAAAGGTTAAGAAAAACAATGGCTGTTTTTGTTTGTTTGGTTCGGGTTGTATTTATTTTCTTATCTGGAAATAATATTGGTCCTTTTTGTGTTAGAGACCTTAAAGTCATCATAATACGCACTTGCATTTAACGCTGAGACGTCAGTAAGTCGACTGATGTAAAGCTGAACAGGACCCATAAAAGTGCGACAACGCGCGGTTGAAGTCGTCAGACGTTAACTGTGTCTATATTATTTATCGTTTGTATATTAAAAACACTAGTCGACGTCTCTAGCATAAAAACGACCATTATTTCTGCAGAAATACATGTACGTGGATGATATATATGTTTACATTTATAAAACAATTTGACGCAGGGACAGATGGAATTCCCAGTTCTGTTGTTTGAGTGAGACTCGATTTGACATAGTATGCCAAACCGTTAATTGTTTTTAGACTCTTTTGTATCAAAAGCTATTCCCAGTTTAAGTGATCGTGAGAAAAGAAACACTTGAGCAAAAGTAAAATCAACACGCTATTCATGTATATGACTTGCAACTGAATACGTTAGTCACATGAGAATTACATATTCTTCTATTTTCCAAGAGAGCACAAAATTCGCTGCATTAAAACATTAATTTCATTTGAAGTACCGGCACGAGAGTTACATATATTTTTCAGGGAAATATTTTTTAAAACAAAAAATGCCCTATTTGATTAAACTGCTTTCATTTTATGTATTAGCAGTGACAATTTCTCCTTGCAAAGCAAGGGCGAGGCTCTCTCATTCTGGGCTGCAAAGGATTCAAGTCGAGAAACGCTCTCGTAAGTACTAGTTTCAAATGTTTGTTTTGTTTCTGCTGTTCTATAACCAGAATCCTAGAGACCTTTGAGGAATCATCGACAGCCTCAACCAGAATTCTCTACACGTTTCCCCCTGTTGCGAAAAAAAGTAGATGTATGCAAAAATCCATTTCAGTGAAATTATTTGTGAATGCAACAAAGAAACACTCAAATGTAAGCTCCCAGTCTTCATTTAAACATTTATATAGGTACAGATGGAATAAACGAATATTTGCAACCTTTTTAATTACAAGTCGTTGCAGCATTAATTGAACTTGTAATTAGACGCTAAAACTAGATTCCGAAGAAGATTAGGTCAACAATTGGACACTCAAAGAAGGTTAAAAGGGCATAGTGGATCAAATTAGTGGACCGACAACTAAAATTGCGAATAGTATTAGTGCAGTAGTCTTAAACTGAACTTTTGCGAATATCTATTTTAACTCGTAAAGAAATTTTAATAGAATTAAAGCTCATTTCTCTTTTTAGACAACAGAAAAACATGCACCTACGTGGATAACTACTACTGCTCCTACTGGCGAAATTTGGGTTATTGTAACCCTGGCAATTATTACTACAGTTCCATGAAAGTCCATTGTAAGGCAACATGTGGTTTCTGTGGAGGTAAATGAATGAAACAGGGTTAGCAAAGACTGAGCGAGGGCATGTCGATCGTCCTCAATCACAGAACTTAGCTTTACACATAATAACTTATAGTTTCAATTGACGTCATACTGTTTGATCTTCGTTCTTGAACTTGATCGGAGATGGTTATTTCCATATTCCATTCGATCCGAAATATATTAGCTGGAAGCGAAAAGTCACTCTTCAGATTTGTTACAAATAAAACCTTATTTTTAACTGTCTTCAAGCTGACGATAATATGACATGAAGAACATGCCTTTTGTTACACTTATCAACGATGACATTCCTTGATTCTAGAAATGAAACAATTATAACAACAAAAATAAATATATCAAGACCATTTCGTACACATATGGTGCTTCTGAAAAGATGGTTTATTAGTATAGTCTAACCTCACTTGTTGTAACCATAGTTCCTTATCAGTTTGGATATATTTTCAGTTCCTAATTAAAGAATAACTTGTGATGAGGCATTAATTTGTGTAAGTTACCTTGGCCTGTTCACTTTTCAATTTACCTGCAAAAAATGTCGCCCAATCATTTTACAGAAAAAGACTGTCCAGACCATAGTTACTGTGCATCCTGGAGGAGCCAGGGATATTGTAACTCAGCTCGGCATTACCACTTCATGAAGGCATACTGTCCAGCTACCTGCAGATTTTGCGGTAGGTAATCTTCCATAACCTTAAGTTAACACTTCCGGGTCATGATTTTTGCAGTTTTGCTGTCTAACTGATTGTAGAGGTAAATTAACTATCGCCAAAAATACGCTCTGGCTCTTTCCTATGCAAAAATGACAGATCACACAAAAGATTCCTGACACAGCAACAACTGAACAAACAAACTTCATTCCAACTGCAACCAGATGAAATATGTATTTTTTATGCTATAAGAAATTTGCACCCATTATGAATGCATTAATGCCAGGTTGCTTTTGGGCCAAAAATGTATATAATTATTAAAAAATAAAAATAATAACTTAAAAGTTTTTCTAAAATGATTACGATAGCTCCGATTGCCACCGCGAACTGTTACGCCGTTACGTATCTACAAGCTTTAAACGTAGAAATTAGTCCTTTCTTAATTCTTTAACCACCGCTTTAATTGTTTTGCGTCCATATTGACCCAAGCCTAGTTTACTTTCTGGACCAATGATCAGAAAAATTTGCAAGGACGGACCTTTCCACAGGTACCTCACTACTAATTTTTCACCAATCCTGACAGAGTTACACACAAAAAACAAGCAGAATTTGGGGAAAAAAATCCACTGCCAATTTTACCATTCACCCAGTACTCATTGCAGGGTAAGTCGCTCCCTTTCCGAAAAAATGGCCAGCTAAAATTACATGCGAAAGAAGGACGATGAAGTGGGCAACAAAACTGGCTTATTTTTATTTTTGTTCTAAGGTTGTGTTCCTCGGAGAGACTTAAACTCCCTTTGTTCTTCTTGGAAAAAGTATGGATACTGCAGCCCTAACAATTATTATTATCGAAATATGTTATCAAACTGCCAAACCTCTTGTGGATTTTGCAGCCGTAAGTACTTAAACAGAAATGTGAGTTATATTTACCGAAACCCTGTAGCGCTTCTTTAATAGGTAATCAGGTTAGCGAGCCTTTTTTCAACCTTCCCAAAGGTCTTGATCTAAGTTAATTTTCGTCACTTTATATTTCATATAGTTTAAGTTTTCAGAGGCGATACAACTCTTTAAATTAATTATCCCATTGTTCAGCCAAAAAACACCCGAAAAGCTAATGAAATAATCGAAAAAGACATTGGGATCGTTTCGCATTCTCAAAGAGATAACTTACGTTAATAGAGACAGATATCTTTCAAAAGACACTTACCTATCATTATTGTTAAGATGGTATCAAACTGTCCTTTTTGACTGTTTTCGACATCATTTGAGGGCTCCATCTTCTCTGGTTACGATGGTGTACTTGTAAGTTTATCGTCCCCCTTTTGAAGCCAAATGCTCTTATACGAAGCGTCTCTTAGCGTTAATTGTAATGTTGTCCTTAGCTTTTGGCGCTCCTCGTAATACCCCATTGTTGAGGACACTCACGAAAGAACCCCTTACGTGATCAGGTGACCAAGTCCGACCTGTCAATTAATTCGATGGTTGAAATCAAGTTTCATTCTAACATCCTTTTCCGAAAGCATTTGGAAACATTATTTTTTTTAGTAACATTCAATTTCAGTTGATCTGAGAACGAAAAAGAAAATTTACGTATAAAAATAGCATGCAGGTAGCCATTAAAACGTTAGGTAAATCTTAAATTCACTTTCAGAGCAAGAGGTAAAAACAACAAAACCCCCAGGAACTACTCGTCCCTCGACCACAAAACGTTCAAGTACCACATATAACCCTAAAACAACAGCTGGACCAAGTATCACATCTAAACCACCAAGTACAGCTGGACCAAGTATCACATCTAAACCACCAAGTACAGCTGGGCCAAGCATCACATCTAAACCACCAAGTACAGCTGGGCCAAGCAGCACATCTAAACCACCAAGTACAGCTGGGCCAAGCAGCACATCTAAGCCACCAAGTACAGCTGGGCCAAGCAGCACATCTAAACCACCAAGTACAGCTGGGCCAAGCACATCTAAACCACCAAGTACAGCTGGGCCAAGCACATCTAAACCACCAGGCTCAGCTGGGCCAAGCACATCTAAACCACCAAGTACAGCTGGGCCAAGCACATCTAAACCACCAAGCTCAGCTGGGCCAAGCACATCTAAACCACCAAGTACAGCTGGGCCAAGCACATCTAAACCACCAGGCTCAGCTGGGCCAAGCACATCTAAACCACCAAGCTCAGCTGGGCCAAGCACATCTAAACCACCAGGCTCAGCTGGGCCAAGCACATCTAAACCACTAGGCTCAGCTGGGCCAAGCACATCTAAACCACCAAGCTCAGCTGGGCCAAGCACATCTAAACCACCAGGCTCAGCTGGGCCAAGCACATCTAAACCACCAGGCTCAGCTGGGCCAAGCACATCTAAACCACCAAGTACAGCTGGGCCAAGCACATCTAAACCACCAAGCTCAGCTGGGCCAAGCACATCTAAACCACCAAGCTCAGCTGGGCCAAGCACATCTAAACCACCAGGCTCAGCTGGGCCAAGCACATCTAAACCACCAAGCTCAGCTGGGCCAAGCACATCTAAACCACCAAGCTCAGCTGGGCCAAGCACATCTAAACCACCAGGCTCAGCTGGGCCAAGCACATCTAAACCACCAAGCTCAGCTGGGCCAAGCACATCTAAACCACCAGGCTCAGCTGGGCCAAGCACATCTAAACCACTAGGCTCAGCTGGGCCAAGCACATCTAAACCACCAAGCACAGCTGGGCCAAGCACATCTAAACCACCAGGCTCAGCTGGGACACATCTAAACCACTAGGCTCAGCTGGGCCAAGCACATCTAAAGGCATCACATCTAAACCATCAAGTACAGCTGGGCCAAGTACATCTAAACCACCAAGCTCAGCTGGACCAAGCACCACATCTAAGCCACCAAGTACAGCTGGGCCAAGCACATCTACGCCACCAAGCTCAGCTGGACCATCAACGACAACTGGACCAAGCACCACATCAAACCAATCAACGACATCAGGATCAAGCACTACAGCGAGCCCTTTAACTACAGATGGTCCAGATAGTACCACCTCCTACCCTTTAACCACGGCTGGACCAAGCTCTTCAAAACAAAGTTCGTCATCTTCGCCTCCAACCTTGACGCCAAGTAAATCAATATTTCTGTAAATAATGTGGCTTTATGTTTTATAGGAGTTTCATTTTGAGAAGAGCTATTTTTTGGTACTATTCCGGGACTAATTTTATAATTTTTTTAGTATGGTTTTTCACACTGGGAATAAAAGTTTGTGAAGAAACTGAATAATCATAATAACTAGTTCAACGTACGTAGTTACAGATGTTAGTGCTAGGAACTGGTTTTTGTACATCAACATTTACCATCAGAACTTTTGGGTTAAATTCCATTCAATCTATGGGAATTTTCTTTTTCGGATAGCAAACGTTAAAATCGTCAGTGGTATGGCAACTACAACCGCTGAAGTTACCTAGCGTCGATTTGGTTTTCATTTAATCCTTATCTACCTCATCTTTTGTATATCCAATCAAAAGAGTGCTTTTCAATGAAGTCAACTTATTTTTAAAGTTAAAAGACTGAAAAAAGAGTTCTTTGAGAATACAAAGGCTGAGCTGAAAGGACGTTCGGAGAGATATGTTGTAATTAATTGTAAATTTTGTTTACTTTAGGCAGTGCCTGTTTGAGGGCACATAATGATAGACGTGCTCTTCATGGAGCTAGTCCACTGATATGGGATAACACGCTTGTGCAGCATGCTCAGGTTTGGGCAGATAATATAGCTGCGACCGGAGTAGTTCAACATGACCCTAACCTTGGCCTAGAAGGAGAGAACATAGCGGTGTTTCAGAGAAATGAAGTTGCCGACTGTACACACGCTGTACAAGAATGGTATGCCTTAATTACTCCACTCTTTCCTCGCCTTTTCTTATTAAACGTGAGGGCACACTTTCTCATACAAGGAATATCACTTAACTGGTTTACTAACACACAGTTAATTCTGCTGGGTAGTAAGGGTAGCTTCCAAAAGTAACCAAGGACGTAAAGTACGTGAAGGAGTATTAATACACTTCTCCTCCTTCGGTAAATGGAACAAATGCCTTTTTCTTTGGCCATGTGAGGAGTATTTACTTTGTCTAATTAGACAACTTGACGATAGTGACAAAATCACAAAGATCCGAAATACACAATTACTCAAGAGGGGAGCGGGAGCTCGATAGTGCTAAATGGAGAGCTTGCCCGCAGGCTATACTGTTTCAAGATAAAATAACTTCTATTTTCTTACTCGGCGTAAGGTACAACGAGGAGCGATTGTACGACTACGACAACCCAGGATTTCATCCAGACGTAGGCCACTTTACGCAGGTAAGGCTAATCGAATCAGTATATTTAGCAGATTATTACTTATCAAGAAACAAATTTTCATTTTTAACTTTTTAACATTAACAAATTTTTTACCTGTGCAATCCGTCTACACCGAACCGTGGAAATTCTGTTACAGATTGCAGTACTGTCTGCAGTTCAGAAACTTGCACGGTTTCTCGGGTCCCTTGTAAACGAAAGGCGGATCTGCGCAAGTTTTCGTGCGTTCAAAGATTTGTCCTGACCTTTGAAAAAGGGGGTCAAAGAGTTTGTTGCATCCTACTCAAATAAAGACGGGTAAGTAGGCTTCTTTACGTTCTATTGACATCATGTGATATTCTTCTGAAGCTGTCCTTCCTTAAAAATAAGGGTGGCTTCGTTTGTAACATACTGATATACCTGTTGCATACTAGCCTGGGTGGCTGGCGTTGAAAGGGGAAGGGGAAGGAGGAATTTGGGCGCGCGCGAGAGCGCGCCCCACACGCTCACGTGCGCGCCCAAATTCCCCCTTCCCCTTTCAACGCCGCCCACGCAGGCTAGTTGCATACCGACCCTAAAAGCCTCCTTTTGGCTTTACGTATACAGAATTAACAATGTCGTTGAAGCAATTTTATCAAAATATAATTAGATCGTTTGGAAAGCAACCACGGCAGTTGGAGTCGCTCAAAGGTCAACAGGTTCAGGCTCTTCAAAACTCACCTACATTGTGGCTCGTTATCTTCCTGCTGGAAATGTCAGAGGACAGTTTCAGCAGAACGTTGGGAGGAAAACAGTTCAATGATGGTAATACGTGGTGTTAATTCATTTTTATTTTCATTTCTTTACTTTTCTGCGTTAGCCACACGCAAGCAGGCAAGACAGAAAAACGTGATCTCAGTGAGATTGATTTGGAAAAAAACTGCCCACCAATCCCTCCCGTAAGCCAACATATTTCCCTAATTGAGATGTAAGTGTTAATGTTGGCTTAGGGGAGGGGTTTTTCCTTTTTTTGTTTTTTGTTTTTCTTTTTTATCGTAGATCTTACTATAGTAATGAACAATACAATTCTCTATGAAATCATTCTCATTCCTCCTGGCAGGTTCCAAGCTCATAAACCTCCCGCGACTTTCTGTCTTAAAGGATGATGGATATAATTATCTAGGAGTATTTCTCGAGGGACATCAGTCTTGGTACATTTTACTTTCCCTTAGTTTTGCATGTAATTTTAGTTCGTGCATGTGGACAAATAAAGGCAAGAGACTTAATTTGAAGCCTAGTTTTCTGTGTTTAGAGCGCCGGCTTGCGGATTATCATATAGATTCATGTTTTCGAATCACGTTCGAATCAAGTTAGGAACTCTGATGTATTTTTAATCTGTTAATTTTGTCTTCTCTCAAGCTCTCCAAAAACGTCTTGAATTTTTTAGATTTGCCATTACCACAAAAAAAAGCGAGAAGCCCAGTAAAAGAATCGATCTAACTTAAGTATACCTTCTAACGATTTCACTTCGCTTAAAAAATACAACTACATCCAATTTGCTCTCTACAGGGGAAATCTGATGCTAAAAAGAACAAACAACTAGGAGGAAAATCAGCGACAAAGACAATAAAGGCCGCATCTCCCCCTGATCTGCATGGGGTTGTAAATTAAGGTGCAAATGAGGCAGTTACCATCTTGGTTAATGATTTTCTCCTAGTTTGCACTTTTGTTGCATCTACTTGCTCTGAGCATATTTGGTGTAAATCTGTTTTTCGTCCTGTGTTTCGTAAAGGCCACACATACCCCCAAACCTGATTGTCTGGCTCGAGCTGCCATGGCATAAGAATCTGCTTCTCACCAAATAAAAAGTCAATTAAAAAGAACCTATGCTATCGGAGATGACATTCCATCATTCCACTGCCAGCTTTGAAAATTAGTACAACAAGGTTTTTTTTTTTTTTTTTTTTCATGGTATATAACAAATCATAGAATATTTTCGGCAAATAAATACTGAAGGACCGACTCTAAAATGTTAAGAGAGCGTCCATAAGTTTTGGGATTTTGCAAATTGAAAGAATCAAAATTACCATGATTTTCAATACAGTCCACCTTAATTCACGGCTATACATGCCATACATTATGAAGACTCCCCTAAGGTGGACGAAGATGAAGGAGGGTTTCAACATTAAAAAAAAATTCGTTTAAGTTTCCTGGGACAAACATTGCATCAGCCATTGCATTCTATTCATTCTTACCGGAAGTCTAAATGAATGCTGGCTACATACATGCCAAGCATGCGTAATAGCAACCTGGAGATTGGAATCGGTGGCTCCTCACCTCTTGCCGAGGTCGCCTGCACTAACAACTGGCCGGACCAAGTGATTATACGTAAATGCTAAGATTTAGCTTTTACTAAGAAGCAATTTAAATTTTACAGAATACAAGAATTCTATTTCTTTCAGTCTGCAAGTCAACGAAAATTCTTCCAATAACTATCTCATTATAAGACTCCAGACGATGAGAATGCTTTAAATCGGAGAATAACGCTGTCCGGACTTGAAATGTCCCTTTAACAACTTTTCTTCAGTCTTTGCTCGTATCCTCCATTAAACGTCATACTCTTGAACTGAAATAAAATTGGAAAGCATTTCCTTGAATTGACCGAGATACTGTATGCAACGTCATGCAACTGTGAAAAGGCAAGAAACTGCAAGAAACAAAATACATATCATTGATAAGTCTTAAAAAGTATTCTTCAGTCTTTCAATGAAGCTTTACGACTTCCGGGGGGGAGGACTCCCTTATTTGGCCTATACGGGTATGTGCCGCTGAGCAGGGTATGGTTTTAAAGGTTCTGAGTCTTATACAGAGTATACAATTTCACTATTAAGCGTCTTGAAAGGGGTGTGTTTTTGGACTGGAACCCTTTCAAAGAGTGTGAAGACTTGCGATGAGCGGTCCACATTTGCAATACCAATAATTTTTCCTAAATATCTATTTCCACAATTTTGGTGTGAAAAACTACTTCAATCTGTTTGCAAAACAAAACAAATCAGGGCCAAAAAGTAGTGTCTCCTGTCTTAAATAGGGTAGCGGAATGAGCAATTTTCGTCTTAAACAGGGTCGACGGTTTAAAGGCCTCGGCGGTACACCTCTACCCAAACTTCCCTTGAGTGTCACCCCCCCCCCCCGGTACGACTCCTGGTAACTGAGTAGCTGAAATGACTTCGCACTGACTAGTAGTAAAATAAAAAAGGAAAAATTGTGCAGTGGCCGAAATATTAAATCTTTGGCACTTAAGATCAGACTATTATGGTTGTATGTGTTCTACGAAGAAATTTTAAAAAGCTCGAGATTCTGCTGACTTCAGTGATCAGAACAACTTCCTGTTTGTTGCTTAAAAAAATAAGGAAATCTATCGAAATTAAAACCTGCTTTGGAAATTAACTGGACCCCAGTTTCGTTTGAGCACGGCGGAAAACCAATTCACGATGAAGCGCTCCATCAGGAAAAACCCACTGGTCATCTACTAAAAGAGAAGATTGATCAACTATCCTTACTTAATTGATATCTGGCGCCCTTACTTACCTATAATGGTCGATACTTTGGTAGACCCATTGCCAACTCTGTTGACACAAGTTTAATAACTACGCGTATAAAGGGGTTCACATCAGAGATATGGCCTGTACACTTGCTTACCTTCTCACTTTAAAGCGAAGACACTATTTCCTACTTGCTGTTTAAACTGTCCCTGGTAGTTCCCAGGAGGACTGTATCGCGCTACTATATAGGTCTTGGTCAAGAAGCCGCGCTTGATAACGGCAATACCAACACCGACTCTCTTTGTAGCTTTCCACACAACCTATAAAAGAAAAGACATACCAATTAAACCCTGGGGGGCTTGAACACGCACATTTGAAGAGACCATTAGATAAGTCGTATTCTCATGTTGATCACTATGAAAGTGACGATATTGTGTTAAATATAATAATGATAATGAGGTAGTGGTGGAGTGTGGTAGTGGTAACGATGATGACCATGATAATGATGACGACGATGATAATGATGATAATGACGACGACGATGATGATAATGATGATGGTAATGGTGACGGTGATGGTGATGGTGGTGCTTATAATAATGATGACGATGATGATGATGATGATGATAATGATAATGGTAATGGTGACGGTGATGGTGATGGTGGTGCTTATAATAATGATGACGATGATGATGATGATGATGATAATGATAATGGTAATGGTGACGATGATGGTGATGGTGGTGCTAATAATAATGATGACGATGATGATGATAATGATAATGGTAATGGTGACGGTGATGGTGATGGTGGTGCTAATAATAATGATGACGATGATGATGATGATAATGATAATGGTAATGGTGACGGTGATGGTGATGGTGATGGTGGTGCTAATAATAATGATGACGATGATGATGATGATAATGATAATGGTAATGGTGACGGTGATGGTGATGGTGGTGCTAATAATAATGATGACGATGATGATGATGATAATGATAATGGTAATGGTGACGGTGATGGTGATGGTGGTGCGAATAATAATGATGACGATGATGATGATCAAGATGGCGATAATGATTAATGACGATGATGAGCATGAAAGTAGCAATAATCGAAGGTCCGTCTGCAAATGTGGATGTCGACTCACGTTGATACGTTGAGTCTCGAGACAAAATACTTGAATTCTATGTTGAGTACAGTAAGCAAATAAGCTGTCTGTTACAAAATGACATATTTCACCTGAGTGAAATGTCCTATTTGAACTCGAGGATTATCCCAAATAGTATTTGGTGGATTCTTGAAGGGATAGTCAGACACTTCTCCATACCTGAGGATAAACAAAGATAAGGAACTTTCCATTAAAAAATGAAATGCTAAAACGGGTGTTTTAGTCAATTGATAGTTTCCAAAAATAATGGTCCAGCTTTACGATCTAATACTGTGTTTAGGCATTAAGATTCTTTCCTTTCGTCTGTTGCAACGGATGGCAAGCATAAATATAGATTGAAACTTGCAAAAAAGTTGGGCCACTTTTTCTTTCCCTCCACTTCAGTGAATAATTGTAATTGCCCCTGGGTGAAATCCCGAGGAGGCACTCTAGTAGCTCGCGCATGTATTAAGGAAAGTACTTACAGCTGAAATATACAGTCATACAGTCAATATAGAAAAAAATCACTATTTGCTTGAACAGGGGCCGCGAGGAATCGGTAGGTAATGATGACGTTTCTTTTATTTGCGCCCGCAAGTACGAAATGGTTCGGATGACGTAAAGACACAGAACATCCCCAAGGGACCGCTTAGGTAGGTTTTGTGACATTTATTGTGAGTCATACTTCGACACTCTTTTGCGTTACGTGTTATCAGTGACATTCTGTGGAGCAGTTGTTTCAGTGAAAGTTATGGACCAAAATTTTAACGACACTCGTTAATCGCAGGAAGAAGTTATAAAGTGCGTATATATGTGTATATATAAACACTTGGAGAGTTTGCCAGATACGAGTTCACAAATCTTTCATTGGAAACCTTGCCAGACACTCTTTGTCTCTCTTTGACCGGAGTAAGACTCAGCCCCAAACAAGCAAGACTAGTGAACAACGGCTAGCTTATCACTGGCAGAACGATGGACGATTACAGAAATTCGCCGAGAATCAAATTCTTTGCTGGCTTACTCCCTGCTCACAGATGTCCTTCCGCTATAAAGTTTAAAATAAGACTAGAATGCGCGAGCGTGAATTGATCAAACGTCCTTTTACTCTCTAAGGCTTCCTTTCCGGCAAATACAATGAACTGAATGTAAAAAGAGAAAGAGAAATAGCGAAAAATTCGACTTCTAATTAAACCTTTTCTTATGGTTTAGAATAAACTATTCTCGAAACTGAGAATGCTTTGAACAAAGCTGTGTGTGTAAATCGACCTGAAACTGTGCATGGAACCTTGCGTTTCCTGTATCTATCTCACCTATTGTATGGAATATTTGTGAAAATCTTCCTTATGAATCGGTGTCTTTCGAAGTGCTTCACAACGAGGAAGAATGTTATTGACCGACAATATACAGAGCAGGGGCAGCTGTAGTGTCAACTATTACGTTCTAGTTTATTATATTAACACCAATTAAATACCAGGTGAGCTTTCGCGCGAAAACTTGACATCTTCACATGTAAAAATAACATGTTATCTGCACATGTGAAAATATCACCGTTGCTATGGATACATCATAAATCGCGCTTTTCACACCAAAAAACTATTATATTGAAATGGTTTGGTATTTCATTGGTGTTTATATAATAAATAGAACATTACATGGCCACTTGGAGATACGAAATTTCTCTTCTCGTGTTGAAAAAATATTTCACTAGTTCGCTGCGCTCACTCGTGAAATATTTTTAAACACTCGAAGAGAAATGTCGTATCTCAGCGCGGCCGTGTAATATCCTCTATATATCGCTGGTATTTGGCAACTTCGTATAAGGGTTTGTATGTAAAATAATAGGTATAACGATATGAGTAGGTATTGACATAAAAATGATTTACCAAGCCTCGACAGCTTCTTTACAGTTACCGCGTTTTCCGCCACTATTGGCTCCATAAAACAGATTCTCTCCAGCACCACTCCATGGAGCATGCTCCATCTTCTCTTTCTTTGCAAGTGTTAGCGCCCACGCTTGTGCCTTTTTAGCCAGTAAACTGTCCCAGATCAGCGGTCTTGCTCTATGCAATGCACGCTTGGAATTATGTGCCTTAAGGCATTCACGAATGTTGACTAAAGATTGCAAAGCGAATCAATCATTCCTTATAGGGTGTAAAACATAAAAGGTAGCCTGCGTCGCAGTCGTAATCTAACCCCTGTTAGTAACGTCTGTGAAGCAGCGACAATAGGGAGCTTAAGCAACAACGACGGCGACGGCTATGAAAACTTCGTAAAAAGTGAATCCGCGCTATTTTAAACTTTATCGTCCTTATTCCACCTCGTTTAATTCTTCAAATGTTGGTAAATTTTTCTGGAGTTGAATTCTATAGCTAAGGGACAGTGTCGAAGTTCAGGAAAAGGAAAACATAGTCGTCGTCTTGTGTTCACGTCCCCCAGAAAACGTGAAATTAGGCACTTTCACGTCGTTGTCATGCAGTGACGGCAAAGAAACGTACAAAAAAGCGTGATTCACGTGCAAAGTTGTTTTTTCGCCAATTTAAACCTATCGCTTTTTTGCCGTTCTCGTTGCCGTCGCCGTCGTCCTTGCTTAAGCTCCCTGATATCATTGTTCTGGAACTTCCGTGGACTCAACGACTTGCCAGAAATGCGTTTTGAATTTCCCTTGAACTTTATTAGAAAATTGATAATCAAGGCGCGTACTCAAATCCTGGTACACGGGGGGGGGGGGGGAGGGGGGCAGGACAAGGATTTCGGTGCTGTTTCGCAGACGGACTTAATCAGAAGTTTGCCAACATAAAAGGCAACAATCAAGAAAGCTGCTCTGGTTTCCCACAAACTTGGCCCACGCATTGCTATGGTTTTGTTGGATGTATTATAATGATTGGCCATTTTCTTATAAACCACGGCTGACTGTCTTTGTTGTGACACGATACTTTACAGACAGTAAGATTTCCAACTACAGGTTATAGTCTGAAAAGGTAATGCTTTTGATAACTGTCCTCAGTATGTTCATCTCCCTGCCCTGGAAATCGTACGGAATCTTTGCATTAGATCTGTGGTAGCCTAAGTTATAAATAATTTTAGCGGTTTAGCTAATGGCTTTCAAAGGTAACTACAGCTATAAACGCCCAATCATTGTTTAATAAGATGTTAGTAATCGTTGCTAAAGATGTTATTATAAGCCTTGTTCAATTGATACCTTTAACTGTAAAAGGTCTTGGTGCTGGAGTAGGACGGGCTGAAAAAGAGTTTAGTTTGAATGTTAGCGTAGGCTTAGACATAAAAAAAGCGTGAAAAAAATTCTGTTTTCTAGAAAAATAGTCTGCAGATACGCATATTTAGCCTGCAAACTCGTCTGATATTCCCAGTAAAAGCCGACCATCTTGAGGCCATTTTCTCTTTCGTCTGACCTTCTGGTATTGAGAATGGATTTCAATTTTCTCGCGGGTAACAAAAATGTCCCGGATGTGTGGACCAATTGTGGGTTAGCACTACTCATGACATCAAAATCAATCGTTATAAGGGTTAATCATAGACCGAGAATAACTACTCAAGTAGTGTTTAAAAAACGAGAGGGAGTGTTTTATCAGGGATAATTAATATACGACTGGGAGTTTTTTGAACGGCCTCAAAATCTCCGGCATAGATCAACTCATTCCTGCACTAATATTTAGATTTGGGGTTATTTTGGTCTAAAAGTTGGACGTAAAGTTTAGCCGTGTCTTTATCAGATATATATAAAGACCCTCATTAAACATTAATTTCCTTCGTTTTTTCTTTGTGAATTATTAATGGTTTTTTAAAGATCTTTAAACTGCGTGGAGAAGAAAAGGTCTGGCTGTTGAGTCAATCCAATTGCAGTTGCTATATGTTTCTCTTGTCCAAATTTTATCTGCATTTTCTCTGCGCTTATTTTGCTGTTTGTTATTGTTATTGCTATCTGAAGTTTTCTTTTGAATAGAATAAGGTTTATTAGAAGAAAATAAAGTTAGAAGGACGATTTTGATTTAGAAAATCCGTAAAAATTGTTCTTGTTAGATAAAAGGAGATACCCAAGGTATTTATTATTGATCTAAATGTCTTTTATAGCCGTTAGGGGCAAAGAACAACACTGAACTTATACTATCGGGTCTGTTTGAACGCTTTTATATGAAAGCTTGCATTTGAAAAAAATTTATGTAGTATTTTAAATTCCATAATGCAAGCCTAGACCTGAACACATCCATGAACAAATTACAGTTGGAATTATTGTATGTGTAAACTGAGTGGCTACAGTCAGGGCTTATCAGATCTGTCTTCGCTTGGCCTGCCTTGGATGGCCTTCCTAGTCCTAGTCAGCAAAACAAACCTTCACACATTCCACACGAAGCCTGGCATGTGTCTGCCATAAAACTGGCGTATGCTTGATCTGGTGCACAGTAACCCAGCTTCTTCCAATATCCACAGCCAGCGTTTTGGTCCCCTCCTCCTTCTGGACATACTTGAAACGAGAAAAGTAATATTTCGTTTTGATGACTCATTTCTTGATAGATGAGGTCAAGTCCATATAACTATTACTTACATCCTCTTTTAGCGACGGCCCAGTAATTAAAAGGAGGATTCGGGAGGACTCCAGGTTTGTAGACGCGGCTTTTACAAACAACGAAGTGCATCAGCACCAAGAAGAAATTCATCATGATCCGGCTTGAAACCATCTAAAATATTAATGAAAATAGAAACTGTTCAGGGGGATTTCCATATTACTTCGTCCTTATAATACAAAAAGAAAAACTTTTTTTACATTCTTGGTAAGTTAAAATGTTATTAGAGAGATCTAGGTTTTTCTTCCGAAACTGTTCAGGGACTTCCACACCAGGTATGCAAATCAATAGTAGAATTCCAGCAATCCTTTACGATTTCAGTTGCGCGAAAAAAACAACTCTCTTCTACACAAATCAGTTACAGCTTCAGGTCTTTAAGAAAAAAAACTTTGCGTGATATAATTTTGTGAAATAAAAGAGCCTGCCAAGCAGTGCATAAAAATATTAATATACAGAGTTTCGACTGAAGGTTACAAGGGCATTCTTCGCTCAGCTTAGCTAACCAACTCAAAGCAACTGAACAAAAACCCATAAACTGACGGTTATGATATCTGGGAAATCTTCGACCAACTTCAACTAAAAAGGTAAATTGTCCATGTTCTAAGTTTCATCATAATATTTTAGGATCATTTCGTGATTTTTACAGTTCTTAAACGGTTTCTCCCGGATCCCAGAAAATAGATCAGCATACTAGCGACTCGCGCCTTCGGCAGTTGCAGACCTTGCCTCAAAAGTTTGGCTACAATCCCGTTAGAAAAAGTAGATAAGTTAACCTTTGTTCTAAAACCTGTGCCTATTCTTAAATTCATCTTAATGAAAAGTATGCTGACTAGACAACGATCTATTTTCTTTAGCAACCCCAGCGTAGTTTCCTTATTCCTTAGTCTTAAAGAGCTTACGAACCAGTCAAGAAGCTGAAGAAACTTAGACAATCCTCGGTGAATTTTGCTCGCACTTACTGTAATTAGTTTTAAATCCAAAAGTGCAACTGAGATGAGTTATTCCTGCTAATGGTGTCAACAAAGCTCATGATATTAATGTGGCAATGAACGATATCGCTTTGGTTTATCTCCACCCTAGCTATCAAAATACACTACGCCTTCTGAACGAGCCATTAATTTACAAGGTGTCATTACACTTGAGCATGCTATTATTATTAATTTCTTTATCAGACGAGTGTAATTATATGTAGTAGGTAACAACTGGCAATATCAAATAAGTGTCTTATTTGTTTAAGTTGGAACTCTTGGGTGAATAAGAAAGGCAAAGAGGAAGGAATCTGACACCAATATTCTTACTGCTTGTTACAGAATTCCACGTTTATAAACTAGATAAACCCAAAGCATTTCGGATTTTGGAATGCGGTCATTGATACCGAATAAAATCTGTAATATAAATATGGTTGTAAGATTGTTCCGTAGATGTGTTCGCTCAATTATCAACCACAAAAGCTTCTGGCCAGTTTCTGTACGAATATAATATTCATATTCAGCAAATTAAAAGTGATAATAAGGTTGATGATGGTGACCACCTTTGCTCCGTTTTGGCGAAAGAAAGCCACAGAGGTCAATTAAATTATAGACGCTTCGAGAAATAATCTTTTATTCATTCTGGGTTGCTCGTTTACTAAAAGGTAGAAATTTTATAATTAAGTCATTCTAGTTTCAACTGACCTTCTATAAGAATTTGGTCTCTGCAGACAATTTTTAAGGATGTGATCGTGACAAACTGTGTGGAATTTATTATTTCCAAATTGGGAATCAGTTATACTTTCTGATAAGGTATTTCCTTGGATCAAGGGAGGTGAAGACTCCACCTGGAGATATTCAAAACCACTGCCCCATGCGCTTCCACAGTCCCATGCATACCATAAATATGCCCAAACATACAAATGATTTTGTCATCTCGGCCACATAAACTAGCCGAGGATGAACTGGCATTGCTAACACTTATATCGGTTTGAATTAGCCAATTCTAATATGAACTCAATCCATTGGGATTATATCTAGTTTATCTAAATGTATTTGAGAGTGTTAATCTCGTCAGTGAACTTGTCAAAATGAACATTGATAAGTTTATAAAAAAAATTGGAATAAGATACACTAAGGAGATACAGATGAAGTGAAATAGTGGTTACTGAAAAATACAACATTGCCTTGACGTTTTTTACTTAACTGAGATTGAAACTAATTTAACAGACCAACTGGATAACCTCTGCAATTGATGTTTTCTTATTACCTAGTTGGTATGATAACATCAATAAAACTGAAAATCTCTCTTATAAACAAAACCACGTCTTATTAAAATGGAAAATGTGGTTTGTTAATGCCTGTATGGTGATCAGAAAATTCTCAAGGCAGTTCGCCCTTTGGACTGAAAACAGGTATTCCATGCCGGCTTGAAAATAAAAGCTTTCAAGTGTACACAAGTTGTTTTTTTGCCGCATAAAATCTCTGTAAATTTTACTTCCAATTAACAAAGATTTTTTGTATGCAATCTTTCGTACAAAATGCATGTGTTAAAATTTACAGACTGTTTACAGCGTTACAAACTCTATTTACATTGTCCGTATGAGTTATAACTTACCTTTTAGGGCATGTCTTGTAACTGCAATATTATTTGTTAAGTCAAGTAAGATGAAAGTTGAGTTTTATCATTATAACATGAAAGGTTAAGCCTCAGTTGCTAAATAATTAGCTTCAATTTTGTTTTGATTTTACACTTATGAGTCATTTTATGACCCGCTTATTTATATTGCTGCCGGTTATCCAAAATAATTGTAAAACGAAGACGGCACGAAAAGATCTGTTTACTATTTTTTTATTGCATCAATCTATTTCTTTATTATCAATTTTTTTTGCCTACATCTCTAACCGAACCCATTTCATAGGGAGCTGAACCGTTTACAAGGAATTTTTAGTAATATAGGTAATAGCATGATTTGTAGCGATATTTGGCATAAATACCACGAGTGATATTTCAAAATTGTTATACGTAACTTCACGAGCTGTTAGGCGAGTGAAATTTAAGACAATTTTGAAATATCAAGAGTGGTATTTATGCCAAATATCAGGTTGCAATTTTCACATGTAGGTATTTCAAATTAATCTTAAATACCACTGCTTTAAGCCAATCAACTTGCAGAAATTTCTCATGTAGTAGTATAAATGCCGTAATTAACACCAGTATCTGCTCGTTCAGAAATCACCTTTTACCTAGCCTGGGATCATGCCCTCTCCCTATTATCCCTTTATATGTATCACAGGTTACCTTTTACCAGGTAGACATTTTTTCTCTCTAGTAGGAGGATGAGCCGGTGCGTGACCATTATCGGTCATGTTAGAAAATTCAAAAGTGAAAATGCCTCAAAAAGACAAAATTAATGCAATTTAATTTAAGAAAAACCGATACAAATTGCCCAATTCCCACATACGTATGACAGGAGATCTTACCGAGTAATAGGATTCGCCCGGAGATAAGTGTTCAATATCAGACTGCTGATGACTAATGTTTTCTCTTATAAATTATTCAAAGTTCTTTCCAGCCACCAACTTCACAGTTTAACACTTGATTTTTTTTCCTGTAATTTTTTTTTCGCCATTTTATTGGAGCGCTCAAAGGAAAATGTGTGCCTTTACCCAACGCGGTCGGGCCGTGTTATAAGCAAAGTTCGCTAAACAAATCGCAACCAAGAGAAAAAGACGAGATCACAATGAACGAAATAAAAATGAAACAAAACTACAAAAGGCATATGGCGATCCTACAACAAAGTGGTTTAAACTTCACTCTTACTTATTTCACATATAAAGCTTTCGTCTTGAGAATCTCTGTTTAATGGTATTATCAATTATTCAAAAGTATTCACCGCGATCAGATCAGTTTTGAGGCACAAAATTTACACAATTCCTCTACATTATCATGCCTAAACCGAGTACACCAGGTCGTAATAATTAAATTCAGCTCAAACAAATTTTCAAATTTGTCGATGACCTTTCGTTTTTCACAATAGCTAAAAGATTCTTTGATAAAAACTTCACACTGACCACATCTGATGAGGCCCGTGATTTCAATAATGTGTTTTCATACCAAGGTTATCGGATATCTTCTGGAATGAGCAGCAGCTGTTTTTAAGGGAGTTGTTTAGGTTTAAGATTATTACTTTTTCGCGAAGCCGATTTATACAATTTTTCAAACATCCTCTCGAAATTCATGAATATTTAATTTTTTGACGGTATGTTCTGATCCACACGTTTCTCGTCGCCACTTTTTAGAATCAATTTCATAAATAAAACGAGAACGTACAGATTTTTAATTGCTGAAGTGGGATGAAGAATGAGAGAAGTACCACTGTCTATGACAAATATTTCTGCTTTAATGCTTTTGCTGATATGTCACTCGAGATCAATGAAACTGAATCTAAGAATAACTTGATCATGCCTGCGCGGAAGGCGGTGAGAATGTCAATGGAAACGTCTCCAGCCTTAATTTCCTTGATTATCAAGTCTTCAAATGAACATGTTGATATCATAGAGGAGGTGCCACAGCCAAACTCTATTTTTGTTTTTCTTACAGTACAATCGTGGATCAAAGCAAAAGGTATATTCAAAATAAACTGACCGAGGTGCCAGCATGAGCTTTAGTCTTTATCTAAGTTGCAATGACGGCGATAAGTGTCTTTATTAAGACACTCCCAGCATGAGTATACCACTATCCCTAGCTGAGTCCATTTCCGATTTTATGCTGAATACCTCGTGGACTACTGATGGATTAGTGAAAAATAATATATTGCAAAGCACAAAATTAAAGAGGGACAGGAAAAAAGCTAGGGGAAATTGCCACTTCTTAAACAGCTTGTGTCTAGTATAGAAATTTATTTAAGAAAAGCATTTATTGTCACTCCTCTTTTTTAAGAGGAAGGCAAAAAAGGTGATTTTCAAGTCACGTTAAATTCCCAAATAAACAACCACATATTTACCCCTGTATCTAGTGTCACTTGATTAAACATTTTTTTTTCCCATGGAAGAAAAATTAAGACAAGATATTTAAAGGATAATTGCAATAAATGACGCAAAGATTTGTGCAACAGTTCTGCCTTAACCTTCTGAAAGATTACTTTTATATCCAGACTGCTTCAGCTTATACTCCAAAAGGCTGACTTCTTGAGAGCAGCGAACGCTCATCCCAATAAAAAATATATTTATATATATATCATTATTTATACGTTTTTTTTTTTTTGGTCTATGTTTTTTGGTATAATTGCTGTTTTCTTTATGGCAATTGAAAAATATAAAATCAATATGTGATATTTGTCGCACGGTGACGTTTCATTCCAATTCATCGCAATGAGGAAAAAATCAGTTTCACTCCTTATATAATTATGTAACACTAAAAAATCCGGCGCCCAAATGTTGTAGGATTCAGTAAACTTAGCAATAAAGCATCAACTAGAGCTTACCTTCTCTCTGTAAAATTTAACAAAGCAGTTTTACGGAAAGTCAAAAAGTAAGAAAAATATCCTAGACAGATGTGGCAAATTGGTCGCCGTCGTCCGATACTGGTAGAAGCTTTAAACTGCCGAAAAGAATGATTATAAAAACCACTTTCCGAACTCACATATTTGTTTTGCCTATTATATCAAGGAGCGGTTTGGATATTTTGACGCCCCTCTCTAAATGGCTACTTCTTCAAATCTGTCAATTGCGCATGCTCAATACATACCAGGTCTTTGTGCCATAATAACTTCGGTGTGCTTGTATAATTATTCCATCACTTTTCATTGTCGTCCGGTTTTGTTGCTTTACTAAAATGTGCAATAAGAATGCATAAGAATCGTTTCTTATTACTTCAACCTAAACCACATAAATCATTTCCCCAGAATGTAATTCCGATCTATATATTTTAATCGTTTTAAAAGAAATATTCATTGATCTTTAAGCGCGGCGGGTCGATTTTTGTCTGGTGCGTCGGCACTTTTATTCTTTTTTAAGGTTTTTGTAGGCAAGAAGAAAAACATCCTTTATGAATGCTTTAATTGAAACCGGTGGCTTATCGTTGCGTGCCTTACGTAAAATGTAGGCCGTAATTATTCAATTAGGGATGTGATTTTTTTAAGACTTTTAAAACGATTCTTAAATCTCGGCGGGGTTGCTCAAAGGCGATTTCTCCTCTTCGCCTGTCAGGGTCAGCAAGGAAAACGGAAAGCCAACTCTGGTATTTGCTTTTTGAGGTCTTAAGAGCAGCAAAAGCGAGAGAACTAACAGGTGAGTTACCACACGAAGTGGTACATATTTAAGTGATCATGAGTAGATCAAAACAGTTTTATCTGGAAAATATTGTGTCTTCATTTCAATTTACCTTTAAATGAAAACTTCCGTTTGAAGGCACGCGATTTTAATAAGTTTATTCTCTCGTCTTTTTTCCGGATTCATTATTCAAAAAGAAATTCAGATCTAACTGTGAGTATACATGACAGATTATACAAGACAAAAGTAGGATTTTTGAATCTTTAGACTCAGTAAGATTACCGGAACGTTTACGTACTAATTCCAACGAGTAGACAAGGGAACTAGCGGACAATAGAAGCGAATGCAGCCGAGAGAAAGCCGATCATCCATAAAAGGGGTAGTTGTCCATATCGCTGACGGTTTACTCCGCTTTTTGTAATCATGTTTGTCTGCTAATTGAAATGCACTGAGGCTGAGCGGTAGCCAAGTGGTCAGCGCGTCGGGTTAGAAGTGGCTCCTCGACCTTACAGTGAAAATAGACGTCTGCCTTTAACGTTTGGTTAGGTCGTTCAGTTGAACTTAATCTAAATGCTAAGTGCACCACCACCATATATAAGTAAAGTACTAAATAAATTTATAGAGCGTTGAAAAGAGTTCAATTATAAAGTGAGAAGGTTTATAGGAAGCCGGATCCCCCCCCCACAAAAAAAAAAAAAAAAAACAAGAAGAAATTGTGGTACTAGTACTAGTGGTCTATGATCAGTGTAGATCCCGGGGGGAGGGGGGTTACTCCCTTGTATGGCCTACACTGATGTGCCGCTGGACAGGGTATGGTGTTTTATCTCCACCCCCCCCCCCCCTCGTCCCCTGGGTGCTGACATGCTGGAAATGACTACCGATGCACAGGAGGGAAACAATAAAACTTCACAAGGCCTAATAAACACAATGCAATCACATAGTGTCGTCAAGCGTTTTGAAATAACCATGATATTTTACTGAATCTCTTTTATTTATGGTTTAAAATCTCCTCCACTGCAAGTGATCATGCATCAACGACAGCCTTGGAAACTGTTTTACCTGCAAGTGATAAAAAAAACATTTATTTTTAAAGGACCAATGTCAATACATTCAACTCCATCTATGACGGACACCATTGGGACGGTTACTATGTGTTTGTCTTAGAGAGATGAACGCTTTATAAAGAGACACCTAAAAGGAGTAAGGCTAAAGGCAGGGACCAACTCTAAATGTCCGTAACGTTTTAGCAAGGTGTCCGCCTTATAGAGAGGTTCGTTAAATAAGACGAGTTTAAAATAATTTTATTAATTATAATACATTCGAGACAACTGTTCCTGTGTCAAGCAAAGATTTGTGAGCTAAGAATGATTGAACCCGAAGAATTGATGAAACCAAAGCCTGAAAAGTATCACTGAAAACTTGTTCTTCTGATTGGATCACTAACATTTGCCGTTTGCCGTAAAGGTGATTCTTATTAGAGTGACGTTTACGGCAAAGCAAACGTCAGATTCAAGTTGAGAATTTCTCAAAACAGAAAATAAGCAGGTAAAAACTGTCCAGAACGATTCTTATGAATAAAACTGGCGTGAAACTTCTTATTTTTGAGTAAAAGTAATAAACAGTAAACGACAATTAACAGGAAAACTTAGGTCACGTGGTACAAATTCACGTTTACCCTTTGGCGTAAACGTGATTCTTAATCTCTCTAATCTTTCATTACATTTATCTAGTTTCTGATTCAGGTCATCAAATTTTAAGGATTATCAAGCTAGCCTAAAAAAAACTCAAGAGAAGAGACCGCCTCCTTTTCCTAGGCACTGTGAGGAAGGCCTCTCTATATCGTTGCGCTTGCTTCTGATGCTCCCACAGAAAAAAATTCTAGTCGCGCGAGTATTTTCGCTACAAAGGCAAGTTATATATCAAATTAAAGCTAAAAGACTAAATCACCTTATAAAAGATTTTATTTCATCGAATTTCAAAAGGCGCTTAAGTTTTTTGCTCTCGAACTCAGAGGTATCAGTTTACTGCTGAAGCTCCAGCCCTTTCGCGTTGTTAAATATTCACTTCCTTTTTATTGCATCTGATTGACAGATAAAAGACCTAAAAAAGGGTGTGAGGAAATTTGCATATGTCTCGTATTAGCGGAATTATTGCATTTCAAACTAAAAAGTCGAATCTCGAGCGCGATTTACGCAAAGAAACTAACATAAAATGAGTTACAAAGGGAAATCGGAAAATTCCTTACACACTTTTTGAGTCTATATCATTATCCATCATATCTGAAAGTTTCAAAGCGATAGCTTAAAACCTGTCCCGACTGGAGGTCGGAGAATTTTGATTTTTGCGTCTAAAATAGAGTGAGAGAAAATCAGCTCTAAAGATTTAGCGCGAGGTCCACGCTTGGCTGGTTAGCTCAGAAAAGGCTCATTTTAGAAGGGTTAAAAAGCACTTTCTGATTTTCTTTTTCTGCCAAAATAAAATTTAGGACCCACTCATGCCAAAAATAAAAAAAAATAAAAAAAATCGAGCAATGTACTAAAATTTTCTTTTATCGAGACCTTAAATTGCTCAACTAAACGGCATGATTCGCGGCACGAACTAAAAAATAACCGATAACCAGTATCAAGCCAGTGCTGACTAAGGTCCCCAAACTGTGAAAATGGACAAAAAGATAAATCCTCAAACTATTCGATTTCTTTGTTTTGAATTATTCTAGACGAAGCAAACTTACTTTTCAGTACCTCCTCACTGCTCAGGTAACACGTTATCAGGAAATTGTCCCAGGATATTTCCTCGCGGGGAATAACGGGCCACTATGACAGTTTTAATGTAACCGTTCCCTAAATTCTTTGTTGCAAGAGCCGCACCAACCTGATGAGTACCCTTCCAAACAATCTATAGCAAAGAAAAAAACAAACAAAGCATCATAAAGGCGACAACATTTATGGCATTGCAGATACCCCTGGTAGATCGTCCCATATTTTTGGTGCCACGACGGTAACTGAACGGTCGATCACCAAGAGTAGCGAGAGTTCTTATATCAGTGTAATATTGGGATGCTGAAGTAAGAGGTTGTCATCAGGAGACTCCAGAGAGATTTAGTATTTTGTTTTAACTGTTTTGTTCAGTATAGATGCAGGACCAAGTCCATTTAAGGCTTTATAGGTAACGAGTAAGATTTTAAAACTGGATTCTGTGTCTTATTCGCCACTTTACAAACGAGAAGAGAACTGGAGCCGAAATGCTTGCCCCAGTTGTTTCTGGGATCGTTACTGGGGACGAGCCGGTCAGCTATTGGCTGTTTTTCCCTTTGAAAAAGTTGACTCGGCCCAGGTTCCTTCTCGTTTCTAAAGTGGCGAGTTAGCAGCCAGTGGAGGCTAAATTGGGAGGGAGTGATGTGATCAAAGCGTCCAAAATTGCCGTTAAGCCTGGCAGATGCATTCTGCACCATTTAGCGCTTATGCAGCAGCTTGTATCACTCCTACCTAATAAGCTACCACTTTTCGACAATCAATAATTATCATAAGACCCAATTTTAACGTATTTCAATTGAGGGAAGATTAGCAACAACTGCAATTAATTAAGAAAAACCACAAACCTGTGTGAAGTGACCAAACTGCGGGGTTACATAAAACTCTTCTTCTGTAGTTGGTGGGTTGTTGTAAGGGTAGTCAGGCTCTTCGTTATACCTGCACAAAAAATCAAAGCAGTTTTGGGAACAGGTTAGGATCAAGAGAACATCTCTCTTAGTTAGGATGGTATATAGTATTAATAAATTGCATGTTTGTTATCTTCGCCCGCCATCTATAATTCCTGCTCAACTACACAGACCAAAATTTCTGCATTTAAACCGAGAAAAAAGTTTTTCCGACTTCTAGGATCTTCTTGGCGCTGTGATCTTCCTTCCTCCATGCCACGAAGGCGACGGTAACGAAAACATTAAAGGAGTAACAAGATTTATTAGGCAAAGCAACAAAACTTTACACGTGCAGCACATTACTTTGTTTATTACACATTGTATTCACTATCTATCTTTTCGTTGGCTAAGATCCTACAGTTAATTTGGAAATCAGCGCAACCTACGGATTAGATAGTTATCTGCTAGCAGATAACTGACTAATCTGTAGGTTGCGCGCGCAATGCATGATTTTCAAGAGCAATGTCAAAGCGGTTCCGTGCGAGGGTGCTGAGTTTGTCGTTATTTATTTCAAAACAATGTATAATGAAACAATTATTAGATTCGGTTTTTGTGATACTTTACATAAATGATGTTCATTTTTGCTCTGAAAAATTTAATTTCTTTCTTTTTGCTGATGATACTAATATCCTTTACGCTAACAAAAACTTGAAATGCATTGAATTGACAGTAAATATTGAATTACAAGAATTATACGATTGGCTCACTACAAATAAGTTAACATTAAATGCTAAAATATCTAACTATATCGTTCTTCGGTCCTATAAAAAAAAGTAATAATAATCCCCCTCGAATTTCTGTTTATGATAATGAAACCAATAAAAATGGAAATCTTGAACGAAAAGATTGCACAAAATATCTAGGAGTCTTAATAGATGAGAATCTTTCCTGGAGAACACATTTTGTCACAGTTGCCATCAAGATAAGTAAAGCGATTGGCACGCTATCTAAGTGTAGACACTTTGTACCTTCTTCTGTTCTTGTGAACATTTACAATGCGCTGATAACATTTTACTTAACCTATGGTCTTATCTCTTGGCGAAACGCCTGTACAACACCTCGACAAAATACTTATCCTTCAAAAACGTGCACTACGCTTGATATATTCTGCAAACAGATAAGATCATGCTATTCCGGCCTTTTTTCGTAAATTCTAAAGTATTGCCACTAAGTTTTTTGTATTATCAATCCGTCTTAAACTTAATGCACGACATAGACGAAAGAAATACACCGATAAATATTTTGAACTTGTTTCAAGGACATCAAATTCACATCACTATTCTACACGCTCATCAACTTCACAAAATTTCTACATAAAAAATCTAGACTTGATATACAAAAGAATGCGTTCTCTCATGTTAGCGCAAAGATGTGGAATGAGTAATAGCTTTAAAAACATATCAAGGAAGACCTTCAGAAAAAAACTTAAAGGAAAGTTATCAAATATACTGAAAACCGAAGACAGCTATATAGATAACGACAAAATCATGGCTAGACTTTAAAAAAATATAAACTTATTTACAACTCTTCTCTCTCTATATAACTAGTACCTATCATCATAATCGTTTCTTTTTTTGTCCTTTAATTAGTTTTTTTTGTAAATGGTGTAGGTCTGCGAGTATCGTTTTAATTTATAAAGGTGGATTTCCAGCTGTCACATAATTTTTACTTGTGTACGCACCTTGTTTTACGCGCGCGTAAATAAAATAGAGGCAATGTATGGCAGGTCACGTGTAAACGTATCGGTTAACTTTTACGTTTACGCGCGGCGTTTCATACATCGCCTCTGTTTTATTTACGCAAGTCAATTTCACTCGCGTACGCACGTAAAAAATTAGGCGACAGTGAAAATCTACCCTACCTCCCAATAGCCACTCATTCCCGACTTGCCCAAAAACTGCTCCTCAAAGGGAAGGTTAATGGAAAGTCTTTGTTTTCAAAGTTATTAATTCTGACAAATATAAAACTCATTACTTTTAACATTAAACGTTTCGCAAACCTTGGCATTGAAAGTGCCGGCGTACCTCTGCGCTTAGCCTTAAGCCATTTCAGAGTTTTGCAACTGGGAAATGGCTTTTAAATGCTATGCGCAGACGAACGCCGGCAAAAACTCTCAACATTGTTGGCCCAAAAATGTTGCGTCCGTTTGCACGGGGCTTAATGAGTCAACAGCACGATAGTCTGACTACCGTAGATCACCTACCAGGATTCCACGGCGTTAACACATGTGTAAGCTTTTGTAGCCGTCCCCCAGAACAGATTTTCCCCATCATCAGTGTGAGCGTGTTCAGGCTTCTCTTTTTCTATCAGTGTATCAGCCCACTCCTTAGCCTCCTGAGCAAGTGTTGAGCTCCAGGTCAAAGGCTGTGCTCCATGAAGAGCACGCTTAGCATTATGAGCTCCCAGACAATCGCCTGCGTCCACTTTTTGTTCAATAAATACAAAGACAAATTAAAACACTTGCTTGGAACCAAACAATTGTTAAAAGCCTTGAGAACAAATGCAAAACATAAGCATTTGCGTATATAACATTAAAGAAAGTGTAGGAGACAAATTGTTTTCCACAATTGCTAGATCTACTCTGCTCTGAAATAGGCCATTTGCACTAAGAGGTCATGTTACATCGTTTTTATGAAAATGAAAGTTATATGAGTTTGCTTTCGAAAAAGGATTAGTGGGTCATATCCTAACAAAGTAATAGTGATTTGGTTTTCAAACCCGCACCATTTTCTTAAAATAAGTAAGTTTGTAAATGGTCACGTGACCAAAATGTGAATTTTTGAAAATATAAGGAGCCCATGAAATTATGAATTACCTTTTTCTGAACACTGACAAATTTTGCACTTAAACTTCAAGGAAAATGTTGAAAAGATTATGTGGTAACGTTTACAGCACATCTGAGGGTAACTATCAAACGTTTAACAAGATATAAGCAGAGAGTAGTTTTGGTCGCCATGTTGGAGGGCAAGAGTATGCCCTCCAACATGGCGGCCAATACAAATCATACTTCTTTGTTCAAAAATCAAAGTGCCATAAAATATCTCCCTTAAATGCGTTTCCTCTCAAATTTTGGGTGTAAGATAATTTTTATGTGCTCTGTCAATTTTTGGCATCAGCAAGATTCCAACTCATTGTTTAAAGGAAGCATTGGTCACGAGACTTCTTAGTGCAAGTGGCCTATTTGTCAAGAATCGACGACACAGTTGCCCCTTTTCTAAACGATCGCTGCCATTTGCAAATGGAAGCGACCGTTTACGAAAGAGAAATAGGTATCGGCGACTTTCACATTTCCCATAATGCAATAGAACGTTTTCACATGACGTCACGTCGGCCATTGTGGTGTTCCTAAACACTGAAACAGCGGCCATGTTGGTCCTACAAGCCAGTCCTGTGGGAGCATGTATGCAACATCATTAGAAGAAAAGAGAGAAAGAAAGAGAGAAAAGAAAGATTTCTACTCCCACAGGACTGGCTTGGAACACCTATATGGCCACCGTTTCATTGTTTAGGAAAACCAAAATGGCCGCCTTGACGTCATGTGAAAACGTTCTATTGCATTAAAGTCTCGAATTGACCTCTTTAGCTTGTATGATTTGTTTTCCGAATGAAGGTTTCAGGAGATTACCCCTTTGTCTTTCCATAAATCATGGGAACAAATGCACGGGAATAAGACGGAATATGAATGATGCAGGTCTGTAGGATATTATCACATGACCTACACTGGGAAAACAAACATAATTCACGATACGTGGCTTCTCAGGGCGGGGGAAACAAGTGACAAAATCTATCCTAAGGTGGCTCGATAGGATTTTTCAGGGTCAATACCTCCCAAGTTTCAGCATAAACTACGTCGCCATTAACGAAGGTTTGAAAAAATTATCACCACAGCTGTATTAGATGCAGATGAAAGTTCCTTTTGATCAAGGTTACAATGACATCGGAGTTGCCATAGCAACGAAATGACGCTATTACCTATTTTACTTGCCGCATTTCTCGGCACAGTGAGAACTCTTCTTCAAAATCATTTACCACAGCTTTCTCCTCCAATACCAACCTCGATGTTCGTGAAGTTTAAGCCAAATCTACAAGATTGTTATAGAGATATTTTGGGATGAAGTTTTCATGGTTAGAAATACGCTAAAAATTAGACAATCTTGATGTTCGGCCGTTATCTCTCGAAAACGAAGCGCTTTTGAAATGCAATTTTATATCACCTTTGAGTTTCAAGAATATTGATATCTTGTAATGCAGTAAAGTAAGGACTACAATTCGCTAATTTTTGGTCGCAATTTATATTTTCGTGGACAACAATAGCTAACATTTCTGCATATTTCAAATGCATTGTTAATTACTGCAGTTTTTCACGTGAAAAGGAAACTTGAATACCCTGAATAAAGAGAGGCTCTCACTTGTTAGCACGTAATTTCCGACAAAAAAATTAACGAATTGTAGCCCTTATTTCAATGCCTCACAAGATATCAATAATCTTGAAACTCATAGGTCATATAAAACGGTGACGAACATCGAGGTGGGTAGCAGAGGGAAAAGCCCCCGTGAAAGGTTTTAAAAGCAGAGTTCCTAGTGCCAAAAAATACGGCCGCAAGCAAAATAAGTAATAGCGTCATTTCGTTACTATGACAACTCCGATGTCATTGTAACCATGATCATAACAAATTTTTATCTTCATCTAATACACCTGTGGTGGTAATTTTTCCAAATTTTTGTTATTAGCGTCGTAGATTATGCTCAAACTTGGGACGTATTGACCCTGAAAAACCCTATCGAGCCACCTTAAGAAGATCTTGTCACTATCTAGCCCCTTGCGAACCCAAGTATCGTGAAATAAGGTCTATTAGATCACTCCCCACTCGCACTCAGCACTTGCTTCAAGCTCGTCCTCAGGAGTTCGCGCACCCCGCTCCCGACACTAAAAAATTAAAAAACATTTTTAGACGTCTTTTTTTGATACATTTAACGCTAATTAACGGTTTTAGTAATCAATCAACTTGTGGGCAAGTCTAATACCGTCTTTGCTCTTAAATTTATGAAATACCTGTTGGACAAACCTACGTCATAATTTCTTCCAGTTGATTGTTTTTTAATTAGGGGGAGGGGTGGGAAGGATATAAAGAGAGCGTAAAAGAAGTGTAAAGTCTCCCAAAATAGTAGGTAATGTAGGAGCTTCTCGTAAGGTGTTTCCTCATTGGTCGCAGAAAGCAATAACACATCATGGTTTATGATTATTTCCAACTGTTTCACGGTTAGGATATCGAACCAATTGGCTTTTAGGGTTAGGAGAGCTGCTACATGACAAAATAGTCGGCAGTCTGGAGTTCAAAATTCAGTTTCGAAAAAATCGTACTCCAAAGTAATCATGTCAACAAAGTCATTCATGTTTTTTTGATAATCGCTGACTTTCACTTAATGTATTGGCTAGTGGCTATCATAAATTAAACCAAGACAATGCTCCTGAGTGAACTTACCTTCCGGTGGTTGAGTTGGTGGCACTATGAAAAAAAATCAAATAAAGTCATTTTTAATAAAACATTTAAATTTGTAACTGTCTAAAATTCGACCGATGCAAACATGAGCGTCATGTCTCAAAGTCCACTAAGAGGGAGATAGTTTTAAGAAAACCGGTCGGCATTGGACAACGCAATTGGTTTGAAACAATTAACCTTTGACGAATAAACTTGGAAGCATTCGTACTTGTTGATTAAAGGACTCAAGGTACAAGTATTCGAAAGGTTTATGGTTCCTTCAGACTTACTTTCACAGTTGCCGCAAGATGCATAGCAGTTACTTTGAACATAATCACGGTATTGTGACGTTTCCTTACAATAGCCTTGCGCCGCAAAGTATGCACATCCCTCAATCTTGTCATACTGTCCTGAGGTGCAGAGAGCTGTCAATAAATCAGTTAGATAGAGTTCTTCAGTAAGTATACTACAGTACGGGAAAAATAATTTGTTCAGCCTTCGTGCAGACCTGACGGTCTCCCATTTCTCCTATCAAGGGAAATACAGTCGAGACTCATTTTAATTTCCCTTCAGATCATTTTCTATATAATTTTACCCTCGTTAACTCGAACTTCCCATAATTCGAACCTTTAAGCGAAATAACAAAAAGTGCGAGTTAACGAGGGTAAAATTAAATAGAAAATGATCTGAAGGAAATCAAAGTTGCTTTGAGTTAACGGGAGGTTTGAGTTAGCGGAAGTCGACTGTAGAACACATCTGCACATGTATGCTAGGCTCAGTCTCCTGTCGTGGGTGTCTCGGTGCGCCCGCGATTCTCCCCTCATCAAGGGCAAGGGAGAAGATAATATGGAAAAATGAAAAAAGATAGTCATTACTGAAAAGATAAGGTTTGATATCGCTTCACCATTTTAACTCCAGAGCTCTACTCTAGTTTCACATGAGCATAGACAGAACGACGTGGGAGTCGTCGTATTTTCACAGGAAAACCAATCCCATAAATCGATACCACTGCCGTCGTGATAAATGAGTTAACACTTTGCTGACTTTGCTGGCTTGAGGTTTGTCCCTTTAGCGTGTCCAAACAAATTTGAGCAACACAACTCTGGGGGTGTTAATAACTTTTTTGACAAGTACCCATCATCTTGAGGAGTACCTTTTCGCTAGAAATGTTACCTACCGGGAGCAAGGATGGCGCAGTGGTGAGAGCACTCGCCTCCCACCAATGTGGCCCGGGTTCGAATCCTGGCGTCGATGCCATATGTGGGTTGAGTTTGTTGTTGGTTCTCTCCCTTGCTCCGAGAGGTTTTTCTCCGGGTACTCCGGTTTTCCCCTCTCCTTAAAAACCAACATTTTCAAATTCCTTTTCGATCTGGCACGCACGGACACGTTTCAACGAGTTCAATGAACTCCTTAGTGCTCCGTGGGTAAACAAATTACAAATTACAATTTACAATTTACCTACCACGTTTTTCAGCTCTATAGCCCTCCAACGGAAAATATGACCTTGAAAGATGACGGCCGGGGGCACCATCAGACACGGCAGAAAATGCCATGAAGACGAGGAGAATGGCGAAGCTTTGCATTAACATTTTGTTTTCCTCGAGCAACTGTGGAGAGTAAAAATAATAACACTAACGTAAACAATAATTCCTATCTTTAATGTTGGTAATTTTATCGTGCCAAGCCAAGTGAAGCCAAAACAAATGACAGAAACAAATAAATGAAATAAACATAACAAGTATTGGCCTTCGACCACGCTCCTCGGTGGGGAAAAAAGGTGATTAACGGGCCTTGCAAAGCGAGCCGAGCAAGGGACTGGTGAGGGGGAAGTGAGGGAAGGGCACCGATCCTTTCTCTCCTCGAATCCTTTCTATGTTCGCTTCTTTCTTCGCACTCGCTCCGATTAAGAAACGAACAAGCTAGAGGCAATCCAGAATGCTATTTACAAAAAGCTTGATTGAGGATTTGAAGAAAAGGTGGATTTCCACCGTCGCGCAATTTTTATGTGCGTACGCTCGTAAATAAAATAGAGACAATGCATGGAAGGTCGCGCGTAAACGTAAAAGTTGAACCTCGCTCAACTTTCAATTTACGCATGGCCTTTCATGCATTGCCTCTTTTTCATTTACGCTCGTAAATTTTACGTGCGTTCGCACGGAAAAATTACGCGACGGTGGAAATCAACCCTAAGGGTTTACGGCGGTGAACAAATCGAGCTACTGCCGGGTATGGTCAAGGCGCGACTTTAAGTCGCGCTGTTCCCTATGTATTACGAGTCGAGTGCTTTAATCGCCCGACCAGGTTGCCTCTGGAGAGAAAATGAGGGTCATGATAATTTTCTGGGGTACAGGAAGCAACACGTCTGGAAGGGTTAGTGTTGGGGTGAAGGGTTGGATGATCATTAAGTTCAGGGTGAAGAGTTCAGGATAGAACATAGCCGATATTGGCAGAACAGTGTTACTATCGGTAAAAAATAATAGTGATCTGAAATACTCAATCAATGTAGCTCCTGCAATTTTCTTTCGATTTTTCTGATCCTTCTGTCATTTCATAGCTAAAATAAATCTATATCAGTTTTTTAAATTAACTTCGCCGATCTTTTTTTAAAAACATTATAAACGAAATTATTTCCAAAAAGACTAATATAACGACTAACAACTTCGCATTCATCAGTGCTTATGTTCGAAACGTCAAGTACACGCAAATGTCGAAGATCAATTAAAAATTAAAGAGCCAAAAGCAAATCATATGTCGAGATGATATGACATCGTATGAATATCTTTTCATTGTTAGTAACTTAGCTATACTTTGAATCCCACACTTCTATGGACCCAATTCAACAAATTCAGAAAGAGTCATTCTTTAGAACTATATAGATGTATTGTAAAAATGAGTGACTACATGTATTACAAACGTGTTCTCAGATATATAAGTTCATAATTAACTGCAATTTTCAATTTAGAGATGTTTAGATTAATGGTGTAATGTTCTATCTTATCTATATACATAATTATATAAACAAAAAACAGTATATGTCACTGGATAATGATTTATCCAGTGAATAGCGCTATCTAACGTTTGAACAACCGGGACCTGGTCATGAATGTGTCGAGTCATCAAAAATGCCGGATAAGTATTAGGGAAACCATTTGCGCTATCCATTGGATAGATTTTTATCCTGTGGATAGTGTTTTCCACCCAGCCTAACCACAACCTAACCACACTTCGTAAGTCCCTAAATCTGTCCATATCAACGGGGTTTAACTGTGTTTTAGATGCTAGCGGTTTATTATATACCTGTAATTGAAACACTCCCCAAATGTCAAGCGCCTCTGTAGCAACTCTCCCTGTTTCGACAAACCCGGCAAAGTGCCTTTAAAATGAACCCAAAACGCCCGATGCAAATATTGGCTCTACAGCTAAGTACACAGCTTAACAATATCAGCAATATCAATATCAAAATCTATCACGACCTAGCTAGCTGACGGCCGACGGTGACTTAAACAAAGACGATTTGACCGACCCACTTCAGCCGAAGGTGGACATTTTACATTCGCGGGTAGTGATGGTTTTGCTCAAATTTTCGGGTAAGTTGTTTATAAGAGTAACGACACTTAGCAACACGCGTCAAGGCATATTAAAAGAGACGAGGTGCGTCGCACAAAAACGCCTTTGCTTGGAATGTTTTCGGCGACTACATGTCTCGGGCGGATCTGTTTAAACCCCTTGGCGGCTGCCTATGGATCGGGTCATTTCGGCCGGCCAATATGGATTGATGCAGATGATGCATACTTCTAATTTTCGGTTTAAGTCGGATTGAGTTGGCAAGTATAAGGAATCCAGGAACGAAAGATATTTGCACAGACATCATTTTCTTGGTTATTCTGACCAAATAAATCCTGCCAGATTTACACAAATAACCTACTAACATTTTGGGGAGAAATCCACTGCGAGTTTTGCCATTCACCTACTAAATTTCCTCCTTTCCTGGAAAGTTGGCCAGCCGAATTTCCTACCTCTACAGGCAATGTTGTGTATGGGTAAGGGCACTAAAAGTAACTAATAATGACTTTAGCACACTGAGAATTGACCTCACGGAAGCAATGTTTTCAGCGACATACAAAGACCCCGTAAGTCCCTCAACCACGCAAAACTGTGTCTTACAAACCCTAGTCCAGAGATTTCAGAGCTGTTTCATTTAGCTTTTAGCTGAATGGTGGAGTTTTAGCCTTTTTCCGATGGTCGCACGTCTTCTTACCTTAAAAGTATAAACTCGGGGATACATATACGCCACTGTATAACTGTGTTTTTAAACCCAGATATTGTTTTAAGTGCTTTCTATGAAAATGATTGACTGTATCCTCTATATGTCCATTTAGATTCTCATCTTTAGAGATCCTGGGGCTAAATGTCTTAGTTTATCTTTGGTCTAATCATGGCGATCTCGTTACGTTTTTTGTTGTATTTTATACTTATTTTTATACAAGTGTACCGATATGTGATGCAATATTTTTGGACTGAACTGCACTCGACCCCTCAAGCTACCTACAAGTAGCTTTAATTTGCATCGTGCTTAAATATAGGTTTTGATTTAATTTGATTTGAAACAAATAGCAATGAAATCTCAAAAATTTATATCTAGTATTTGCTTATACGGTATTTCGTGGGTTGATTTCATGAGTTTCCGCATCGAAATAGCTTCCACGTTGGCTTACCAACAGCGCGAGCTAAAACTCTTACATCATTTCTTGCCCCGGACGTACGTCTTTAAATATTAATAAACTGAGGCTTTGTCGTAAAATTAAGAAACTAGAACAGCCAACATTCTGAAAATGAAACAGCAAAATTGCAAAGAGTTATCCGCATACTGACAATGGTTGTTGCGGTAGAAAATATTTAAAACAAATTCAACCTAGCTCTTTTAAGTATACTTAGCAAAAAAGTGTTTACCTTGTAAATAAAACCGATGACTGCAATTTTAAAAAGTAAATCACATGATCTTTACAGAAAAATAACTGGTGGTCCAAGCAATTAAAATCTACTTGTATCTGCTTAGCTTTGATGCTGAAAGAATTTATTTACATAGAGTAAAATATTTCGGTGTGTAGAATGTACTTAAAGCTTCTAGACACTACTATAAGTTGATGTTTCTTTTTAAGGTTAATTTTTAAGGTCATACTTTGAGGCATGAATTAAATGAAATAATTGCTATTAGCCGCTTTCAGAGGTCAAGAAAAAGTGCTGTTCAAAAACTGACCGGCAACTTTCTAATTTCAATGCTAAACCAACTATAAGGATTGAAATACTTACTAACATGAACTCAAATCACGAATATCTTTCAAGTGATACATACAGAGGGTCGACCATCGGGTTTGCGTAATTCAAGACATGGAGTTTCCTTTCCCTAACGTCAAATCTGTTAATTAATTCATAAACTCTTTCTCTTTAAAATGGAAACCTTTATGGTTATTTGTATTTAAACTTAGATAATTTTGCAAATTGATTAAAATTGCGATAATAATAATAATTGCTGTCTTTTGCTTTTAATAGACCGCCGCTAAAAGTATACTAACGCGAAGCAAAGCTGCAATACCTGCCCACGATTGCTTTATTGATAACTCGATGAAGCATGCGACTTAATCGCACACATCAGGACAGGTGTCAGGATATTATGTGCTCTCTTCCGCGAACCTCATTCACGGCTTCCTGACATTCACCAACTCTTTTGTACAAAAAATCCGCTAATGATAGTTATATTAAGTCGCCTTAAGTAGCATTTCCTGTTTTCGGTGGTATTCAGTTACTCAGCCTATGTGGCTAGACTTGCTACAAGTCGACCTCTTGGCGAGCGGAGCGAGCCTTTATTGGCCGCGAAGCGGCCGTCCCGCGCCATATGAAATCCGACGAAGGACTTTTTTGAAAGTCTACCCAGGTGGCATGAGCACTAAAATGCAACTATAGGCAGATGATTTCTACACACATGACTTATTAATAATTTACTCTGATGTCTTTCGTGTCAATGTCGTGTCCTTCGTACGCACAATTCTCTTGCAAATATCCCTGCTGCCGCTCCCTCCTGTCCTTTAGGTGCTGTCCTGCACTTCCTATGTATGATCATGACTAAATTATGCAGAAAAATCGTTCATTACAACAACAGAATAGAATAGATAAAATACTGCAAACTCACCAGTTGTGCTGATCTGACTGGATCGCTTACTTCGGGATAAAATCAACTCTTAGCAAGAAGAATGGATGTTACGTTAATATGTGGAAATGAGAGCAGTACAGATGCAACAACTGAAAAAACATTTTAAAAATAAGATGCATATTGGTGATAAAAATTGTATTGGCCATTATGTTTTCTCAATATTATAGGATGATCTACATTTTCAATATTCTAGTATGTAGCGCACTATTTTTTTTATGGAAAGTCAAGTAAGCAACGACTAAAGGTGTAAAACGCGACGTCGCAACTCTTCAAAAATCGTTATTGGCACTTTATAATAACGCGAACGCAGTGTCGAAATACAAGCAAACACGCTAGTAAATGGGAAATGAG